CAAACAGTCCCCATGTTCCTCAACATTACCCAGTTTTCCCAGATAATTGAATCTGCCTTCTCACACACACACACACACACACACACACACACACACGTTTCCAACACAGTAAGTCCTTTCCAGAGCTCAGGTCTCTAGTTGCTCTAGATCTCTGCCCAGTCATCATCTAGCTTTCCCTCTCCAGTGAGACCACCTTCTTAGCACATAAAAATGGGGTCACATCAATACAAAAACACTTTCTGAGCCCTACTTCTCCTGCTGTCTGTCATCTCATTTTTCTATGCACATCCAAGCATTCTTGATGGAGTGGTCAGAACGATAAGCTTCGTGGGGCATGGAATATGATGGTGGTGTTCTCTAACTGTAGTGCTAGAACAGTTCTCTATGATAATCCTCACTTCTAATACTGATGCTACAAGAAAAACAGAAATCCCAACAGAGTGGACAAACTGCTACAATAGGCCCTTTATAAAAGTCTCCAATAGTCAAAAACTGTATGAAAAGGAACCCAACCTCACTAACCATCAAAGAAATGAAAATTAAAGCTACAAGGCGATATATACCACTACACAACTACCAGGATGGTCAAAATGAGCAAGATTAAAACATCACAGCAGGTTAGGGGCAATTGGGGTCCTCATGCATTGTCAGAAACAGTGTCAGTTGACATACATACTTCAAAAATAGAGGTGGCAGCAACTGCTGACTGAACATACAAAAGCCAGCATGTCCACCACAGGCTATACCCAATGGACATGAAAAATTAACCCAAATCCATGAATGGTAGAATGAGTAAGTTGCAATACATTCATATAATGAAGTGTATATGAATGACTATTACAGAAAACATGAGTGAATCTCACTGACATTTCACTGTGTGAACAAAGTCAAGCACAAAAGAAAGCAGAGCTTATGATTCAGTGCATGTAAAGTACCAAAAACAGGCAAAACTAATACAGACGCATATGGTTTTGAAAGTTAGGGCAGTAGATAGGTAATAAAAGTTAGGGTTTCCTTGTGACTGGAAAAAGGCAAGAGAAGTGCTTTGGAATACTGCTCATGTTCTGGCTTTTGATCTACTGTGCAGCTGGTGAGAATTCACTAAACTGTCCTGTTCGGTATATACAAGGCTACTCAAAAAGTTCATGGAGGATGGAACTGAAAGACAACATTATTTTGGTGCAAAAACACTTTGAAATCCACGCATAGTTTTTTTCATAACACACATTTTTAAAGACCCCTTGTATACATGGATTTAAAAAGTTTTTGCAGCTGGCGCCACGGCTCACTAAGCTAATCCTCCGCCTCGCGGCGCCGGCACACCGGGTTCTAGTCCCAGTCAGGGCGCTGGGTTCTGTCCCAGTTGCCCCTCTTCCAGGCCAGCTCTCTGCTGTGGCCAGGGAGTGCAGTAGAGGATGGCCCAAGTGCTTGGGCCCTGCACCCCATGGGAGACCAGGATAAGCACCTGGCTCCTGCCATCGGATCAGCAACGGCCATTGGAGGGTGAACCAATGGCAAAGGAAGACCTTTCTCTCTGTCTCTCTCTCTCACTGTCCACTCTGCCTGTCAAAAAAAAAAAAAAGTTTTTGCACTAAAGCAAAAAAAATTAACTTTTAATATCACTTTCCACAAACATTTTGATGCTCCCTCTGGTATGTTACATTACACCCTAAAAAAAAAATCTAGCTATATATACTTTGGATTTCCTTTTCTATCTCACTCTATCAACTGTGAGATCCTTGAGGTCAGGGATAAGGCTTTTTCATGTTTCCTTCCCTAATTCCGCAAGCAGTCATTCACAACTCAGCTCCCAAGGGAGGATTCTGGAGGCTTGAATGGCATAGGGCTTCAGCCCTGACTCACTCTGTTCTCTTTCAGGCTCTTCACTCTGAATCTGTTTTCAGCCTCTCCACTGGGTTCCAGGTCTTGATCTCTGCCTACAGAAATGGTGATGATAATAATCTGCCCTTTCTTTGAAAATTGGCTTTGAGTCAGGAGCTTGGCATAGATTATCTCTTTAACTATCACAAACAGCCTGCAAGTTAGTAATTATTACCCCCATGTTACAGACCAGGAAACCAAGGATCCCAGAAGTTAAGTAATTTGCATAAGAATGCACAGATAATAAGCTGGAGAAGTAAAATTGAAAGTCAGGTCTTTCGTATTCCAAAGTCAGAGATCTTTCCACAGACCACACATGACCACAGATAGAACAAACCTGAATAATAGGTCATTATTTTTCTCAAAGGCTTGCCAGTCTTCCTCTGCTGAGGCAAGTTCATCACTGCCCACTGAGTGTCCCAGGCTACAGTCCTGCAGATTGCCTTCCCTTCCCCCCACCTCTTCAACCAACTCAGTTACTTAGTACCGTTTCCCAAGTTTGGCAATCTATCCTGTACACACTAATCTCAATATCATAGCATAAATTCAGGCTATTATTTTTTCTTTTGAAGATTACTCTAATTGTCTGCACACCATGTCTTGCTAATCCAGGCTTGGTTTCCTCTAATTTATTCTTGTGATGCCTCCTGAGAGATCTTTGCAAAATGCAAATCTAAGCATGTCTCTCCTCACACCTACAGGATAGCGTTCAAACACAGCAGCATGGTGTAGGCTCTAAGACCTGACCGCTGCCAAGTTCTCCAGATCCTCCCTTTGTGATGCCACTCCTCTTACCCAACCCTGTAATCCAGCCACAGGAAGAACTGTCGCTCAGGGAAGCACCTTGCTGTTTCCATGACTCTAAGCCTTTGCATGCCAGAGTTTTATCTTCCTGAATGTTCTCCCTGTGCTGCTCGTGCAGCACAACCATTCACTCCTCTCCCAAGCCCCTCAGGCTAAGTTGCTGTGTTGCTTTCATGTCACAGCTAAAAGCTTGGTGCATCCTTCTCCTGGAACCCATTTCACAATGCATTGCAATGTATGCAGTTCAGAGTCTTCACTAGACAATTAGCTCCTCAGGGGGAGACACAAGCTTGTTCTTTTTCACATGCTCAGGCCCACATACAACAGCAAGTCAAAATGCCTCAACAAGTGAATTATACAATGAAACCAATTATATGTGTATGGACAATTTTAGCTTCAGATCATTTATTTGTAAGAGTAAATGCAAGGAGAATGTTCCAAGCAGAAACAATGGGGGCTGGGGAGGAGAATAGTTCATTAGTCTTTATGAGGTCTAGAAGAGTGTAGCTCATGGAGTAAGCTGAAAACATTTAGCTACTGTGTAAGTGTTCTCAGGAACACAATATCCTCCCTCTTCCCAGGCCTCTCATCAATAATCTCCTCCCAGCACCACCAGAGCCACCTATGGCGTTAGAGGCAGGGATTAAGTTCAAGAGAGAAAGGACAAGGTCACAGAACAGGATATTACTTGATCCCAACCCCTGAACCCAGTGGAGACAACCAATGATGTTGGACCTCAAGTTTTAGGTGGAAAAAAAGTGATCTAAGGCTTACTAGAGGTTATTTTCAGAGCTAACCAGGAGAGAGTAAAACATTCTTCTCCTCTCTTGGATCAGCTAAATTGGAGCACAGCAGAAGTAAGCATTTTACAGACTGTTCTATCATTTCTAAGATGCAGCATAGGAACACACACATAAAAATAGTCAAGTAATGATGCTGTCTCTTCAGACTGAAGAAACTAAGCAAAGGACTGGCAGGATTGCTGGGAATGTGTGTGCCTATGAAGCATACTAAGAGAAGAAAGGTGGTGTCTGAGGGTTGAGCCGAAGGCCAGGAAACTGTGGGCAGGAAGATTTAATTTGCCAATCACTTGCCGCCCCCCGGGGCCATAAGGTACTTCCGTAAAAGGCAGGACAGCAGAAGACCTACAGAAAGCACTCCTTCCCACAGAGAATATAGACTTTTTTCACCATGCACGTGAAGGCTACAATTTAACTGCTCTCTCTGGCATGAGGCTGTGAAAAGCAGCAGCCAAATACCCGCCAGAGACACAGAAAAGCAATAACTATGTTGACATTCCAAGAAGAGAGGGAGAGAAGATTTTTCTCCCAGAAGCATTCTTGAATTGCCTGTTCTTGCTTCCCTTCCTCAGCATGAGGGAGTGGGTGTTGGGGGCTAGATCATGTTAAAGACCAGAGGGCAGCTGACATGAACTTCTATCAGGCCTCCTCGCACAAAGGCCTTATTATAAAATGCACATAAAAATGCGTGGGCAATACTTGGAGGGTTGGGTTTTGTCTCCCATCCCCCAACTCCCAACCCTGTGCTTTGAATGCATTTGTGTATACACACCCTCTGACAGAATAGGTCGAGTTGCCATGGAGCTGTAGCCTCTGCAGTTTACAGGGGAGGATCACACTGCTTTTATACTTCTAATAGCAGAGGTAAGAATCACTGCATAATATTAACTCCACTGGCATTTCAGACTTCCAGTTGCTTGTCTTCGTGCACTCTGCATTTTTTAATTCCCTCCTTGTAACATTACCACCATGGAAGCTGCTGGCAAACTGCTTCTTGTTTTTGTGAAATCGGTATGCCAAAATATGGAGGCATACTATGATCTGTGAGCTTCCCCACACCCCTGCCCTTCCCAACAGGCAGCACATGACCTTCTCACATCTAGAGGAGTTTATGAGAGATATAAAACATAAACTAAGGCATACCTAATAAGTACTCTGTGCAACACATAAAAACTCCCATAACCAGTAGCTGTTTTCTCTGACATGATAAATCTAAATATTATTCATATTCTGATTACTTTTCAAATAGGCTTCAAGAATCAAAATCATATCTCGAATACTTTTGCAAATATAGATATAGTTCCTCTTGGATCTCATTTCAAAGCTGAGTTACAACCTTGTTGTTTGGAAATCAAATAAAAGAATCTAATAAAGAACACAAAGTGATTTCCTAATAAAACCTCAATATCTATCCTGTCCCTCCTTTTTGGATTTTTCGTCTCCCACGAAAATGGTTATTTGACTTTTGCAAAATCAAGTGCAAAGGAATTTAAGAAAACAATTTTGATTTCCTACCTGGAAATCTGCTTTCGGTCCTAGTCACACAGTCTCATAATCTTGAGTCTCAATTTCTCAGGTAAATTCGCCAATCTGCTGACAAGAAGTTTTGCGTTATGATTTCTCCTCCCACAGTGCATCATCAAAATGTGTCTATGAAAATGACCTTAAGGTTAGCCAGTACTGCAAAACTGAATCTATCTGTTTGGGAAATGGGAGAAGCAAACAGGTGGTAATAAAACCTAATACCGCTGTACTCAGCACAATAAGATGTAAAGATGTAGAAACAGATCATGGGAAGGAAAATTAACTGAGCGCACTGATCACTTAAAGAATAAAATACCCATGAGTCCATAGTAAAATCAGTCAGTCAAATATAGACATCCCTTCCCTTCAAGAGATAAAAACAAACTTCTTCTCCCCTGAAGTGGAGACTGACTTACAAAGAATAGAATCCAGAAAGCGAAATGTAGCACTTCCAGTGGAAAAACCTAGCAGATTCTATCTTACCCGAGCTATCAAGGATAACGCCACCAAACATGTTAGTGTGATATGTCCCCCAACAGAATGCAACAACACAGGCACCTCACCTATGTGGTTTTCTGTCCCCAAACTCATAACCCCAGACTACAAAATTTCTAGCCAGTACTTTTAAAAGATGTCCATCCCATCTACAACAAGTTGAGTGTGCCATAGTATACTTTGTCATGCTACTGTTCTTCATATATCACACTGTATTTTGTATTTCATCAAATACTTTAAGTGAGCAGTTAATTATTATTATATTAAGTTCTCAGGCAAACCAAACTTCTTGAAAACTATCAATCAATCACTTAAATAAATGGGCTTCTTTAAACAATAATTTTCTTTAGATAGTAATTTTTCTTCTTTTTTTTTTCTTGACATTTCCAGACCACCTCAGAATCCTATCTTCAAAATACTGTACACTTCAGTTTTTTCTTACCACAGACTGTGTATTTTCATTATGACTAGCAACAGCATGCCTGCTGCTGATGAATCTGGCAACTATGCGAACAGGTTTACTCTCTATTTCAACGCCACAACACTCAGGACCTTCTGAGCACCCCGGCCAGACACCCTGTGCTGCTTGTGGATAGGCATTCCCCAGCCTCTTGGCTGGGTGACAGCAACCACAACAGCCCACAAGGTGGGTGGAGAACCGATGAATAAAATGATAAATATTTGTGATGAAACAGGATGTTGGGGGATGGAGAAGGTGGAATATCTCAACTACTGAACTACTGAAACTACTCTAGAGCTCCCAACAGTGTTCTCTTATTGTAAAAGTAGGAGCTATAAACAGACAGATCTTTTCTCCAGTGTTCTCCCCTTTATTATAAATAATTTTTAGAATTACTACCATACAATACAGCAATAACCAGACACAGAACTTATGACTCTGGGCTCACTAAACCATAAGCACTAAATCCCAACAAATGTTGTGATTTTACAATGAAGATACTCCAAAGAACAATGTGAAAATACAATTTTCCAGGCTAGAAAACAACATGTTCAACAGGTCTGCCATTGTTGCTGATTGAATGTATACTTGAAACCACTATTTCCCGTCACCGGCATCACTTAGTAACAACAAAAACAATCATCATTCACAGGCTCCAGTGTTCTTGTCAAGAGTAAGTTCAAGAAATTCTGACCTAATACATGGTGCTTCTCTTACACAGAGGAAGAGACTTTAGTTTTATGGACTCTGAATCCTCAGCACCCCAGTGGTTCTCATTAATTCACACACAGGTTCTAATGTCTCGTATTAAAGCTTAATGAAACACAACAAAAGATGACCGACCATGCCTTCTTAGATTCCCCAATACTCGTATTTCTCATCTGTTTTACATATCTCTTGTATTATTGTCAATGATTGTGCCACAGCAAAATACAAACACCGAAAAATGAAACACACCTCAGTAGCAATTTTCTACTCAGTGTAGCTCCAAAGACTTCTTTCGTGTTAAGCATTCTGACAGTGATCATTCTCTCCACACAAGGAGAGAGAATGCCAGCATGGGGTTGCAGAATGAATACACAGACCAGAACTGAGCAAGACATAGCAAGCTCTTCCACTTCAGACTAAATGCAAAACTTATTATCAATATAAAACTTCAGCTTTTAACACATCTTAGACTTAGAAACTCAATTTGCCTTGTCTGAATTTTAACAAGGATTTAACAAAAAACTCCACATCAAGAAATAGGAAACTAGATAGATGAATTCGAGTGCACACATTCCACGTTTATTCTCCATTTATTATACTAATCACCCCTAAAGAAGATTGATCCATCCACTTTATGAAGTTCTCTTTAGAAACCATTTCTGGGAAACTTAGTAATTAAGAGTTTGAAAACAATATTAGAGTAAAACGGTTACAGTGTCACATGTACCTCAATGAGGTGTTAGATATTCCCCTGTAAATTTGTTGTTCAAGTTAAACAACACAATGTCACACTTGAAAAGACAAAATAAAGCCTACGAGAAAATACAGTAGATGCAGATACAGAGATGAATGTAGTATTTTATTCCAAACATTAGCACACATGTGCAGCTGATAAATTTCTTATCAGTGTGCTGGGGCCTAAATCATAACTCACTTTGGATATTATTCATTCCCTTTTCTGAATGAAACCTAAGGCAACCCAATGAAACTGACCTCACATTCCAAGAAAGAGATAAATTGTCCTTTCTTACCCCTCAAAAGATAAAAGAACCACCTCTACAAAAACTGAAATATTTATACATAAAAACCATCATCTATAATACTGTGTGAGTAGTATACTATCCATTAGTTTTATCTGTTTCCAAATTTGTTACTGGCTTCTCTAATTGTATCAGTTCAATATGACATCTCCCTCGCCTCCCCTCCTATTATTTATTAGCTGACTAGCCATAAGCAAAATGTGGTATTCATATCTACTGACCTGGGATAACAATAGGCTGATGTGTCACAGGTACACAAAAAAGCACATTCCTCTCTCACTTAATGATTTATTAAAATCAACTTAATTATATTTTCTTAATAATTATTTTAATGATTATGTTTGCCCATTTATTTTATAATATTTTTGATCTTTCAATTTATATTCTCAAATCACTGAAGGGGAAACAATCTTCCATTATCATTTTAAATTTTCTCTCCTCTGTATAAAATGCTAGAAGATACACTAAACTCTCATTTATAAAGAGAATTAAGAGAAACACCACTCAACTACCTAAACTAAATATTTATCAGCTAATGTAAGTTATTTAAAAATAATTATAAGATTAATTAAGCCAAATAAAAAGAAAATGTTGAAGTACATTACACATTCCAAAAGTACCTCCCACTAATCTAATAGAATCTGGGCCTCAGAAGCAGCAAATCATAACAAGGCATAATTTAGATAATCAGTGAGGATCTGCTAAAATAATTTTGGCAAATAACCAGTGATTTGAAACCACATTTTTTAAACCATTATCACTTTACTCTTTAAATCAAGACACTGGAAAGTAGTTACCAAAAATACATGGATAAATTAATTTCCAAATACCAGTGTTTTTAAAGTGCTATGTAAATATCATTATTTTAGTTGTTAAAATTTGAGGTTAGAGATGTTTCTTAATTTACCAGTATCATATTCAGAAGTTATTAAAAGTAATTCCTAAACACTCAATCTATAAATCTACATTTAATATTTGAATATTATGATTTACTAAATCTTCTAAATATTACTGTGAATATCAATGATTAATTCTCCTTTAGCATGGCCATTCCATTATGCTAGGGAGTCTACACCCATAAGAATCCACTCCAGTTGACAGATGACTGAGAAGCAACATAAATAATGATAGAGAACCACACCAGCTTCATGACTGCAACTTAAAAATGACTTTTTTTTAACTTTTATTTAATAAACACAAATTTCCAAAGTACAACTTTTGAATTATAGCAGCTTTTCCCCCCATAACCTCCCTCCCACCCGCAACCATCCCATCTCCCACTCCCTCCCCCATCCCATTCTTCATAAAAATGACTTTGAAAACATTCATAAAAAACTAGTCAGAAACAGATAAACAAAGTAAGCCTAAGCTTAAATTGTTAAACTTATAAAATAACAAAACAAAAATCACATTAATAAACAAGAACAATTTTAAGTGATTAGAATTAATAAGAATAAAGACCCCACAGGCACTTATTTTTCAAAAATAACTAGGAAATTAAAAATAGAAAAGAGGACAAGTCAATTCAGGAGAAGAAATGCAATTAATAAAGAAACCTTGCCAGTTATTTTAAAAATGCAAGCTAAAACAAGAATGCCGCGAAAAGTTTTACTTTGGCATAGCTATGACAAAAATGGAAAGCTATCTGAAAACAGGGACCAAGCACAATATACACACTCCTACCCTTTGACAAAGGACCTCACAGGGAAAAACATCTGAATACTCAGAAGGTTATTCCAAGAAAATTACGAGCACTAAATTACATCAAAATTATACAGCCACTAAATTGGAATATGAAAATTAGCAAAATGGAAATGTTTCCAAAAGTACGATTTTGAAAATAAGGATTATATCAATATCATGATTATAACTATTTCAAATGTGCAAATATGAACAAATACCAGAGAATAAACAAGGAAAATTATCAATCAACTTGATTGATTGTAGAAGGCAATAGACTAGTTGTGCATCTTTATATTAATTGCTTGCAAGATAAAAACTTGACAAGAACAAATGAATTAAGTAATCTGGTCAGCTCTAAAATAAAATTTCCCCAATACACTGACCAGTAACTACCATAAAACAGTTACTGTTCCAAAAGAAAATCACCAGTGTCCAAAACTCTATAACCAAAACAAGACAAATTCTACAGGAAGATTCACGGTATAACCCTACTGTTTGAGCCATAAACCCTTTCCCAGGTTTTCAAAGAATTTCAGACCTAGCATGCAGATAAAAGTGAATACTTTTATCCTTTTAATTGTATCACATCCATTCTTTCTATGGGAATCCAATACACACTACCAAATCATGTTGTTTGAATACAGGCAGTTCTCAACTTACAAATACCTGATGACAGCCAAAAATAAAGTCAGCTGCTGCTGTCCCTAGGTTGCCACCTTCTAACTGTATCCGAGGTCTCGTTGTTGTCCCAGAGATACCCAGTTGTTGTGAAGAAATCTTAAACTTTTTGGAGAACTTGTGGGGAGAACGGGTCAAAGTAATAAACACAGGTGAACAGGAAAACCACACAAAGCCAGTGCTACCCTCAGTAGTTCTCAATAAACATCTGATGAATGACTAAATGAATTTCCATTTTCACCCCTACCCTACGCCAACAGTCTGTTAACTGGCTTCCTTCTTGGGCTCCTGATTCAGGGAGTTGGAGTTTAAAAATAGAACCAAGACCCAGAAACAAATAGCTATGATCAACAGGCTACATCCTGGACAGTGCACAGGACACAGCCCAAGCCTGGGATCAATCCAAAAAGGTCTACTTGTAAAGCACAGGTAGAGAGCATGTCAAGAACAGAGACAAGACAAGCTACAAATGGTGAAAGAAAGTTGGAACGTGAAGATTTAACAAAACTTAATTAATAATGATGCCAAATGAGAGATTAAAGACATAAAGTCCTCATGTGATTAAGATGGTATCAAGGTGAGGGTGGGCCACCTTAGACCTTCAGCTTAATGTTTCACTCCAACTTCTCCTTGATGGACTTAAAGCAGAGGAACCATTTTAAACACATCTAAAGTTTAACAATTTCTCAATACATTTCATTTACATACATCTATACAAAGGACATCAAAAAGTTCCTTGAAAAATTATATTGCCTTTAAATTTCATTTTTCCATGATTCTTTTGAAGCTCCCTCTTACTGATAATGAATCATTCATCTTCTGAAATTTATAGCAGCTCCATTACTCAAAATTATCTTCCTCAGCTCCTTCTTACCAACTGAATTTAGAGAAATCATTAAAAAAAAAAAAAGTAGAGAGGGTTTAAAGGTCTTTTAGTTCGATGACAGACAATGAAAGAGGTAAAGCAACTTCACTCTTTCATTCAGGACCCATAACAATGGATCCAGTAGTCCAGGCTATATTACTTAGGATTCTTTGACCACATGCCTGCATATTTAGTGCCTCCTGGCTTTTACTCGGGGACACTATGCTACAAGACTCCAAGGGCACCAATTATATCATGGTCTCTGTGAAAGGTACCCTCAATTGGTTAGGACTATCCAACTCTTAAGCAGTCATATGTGGTGGTCTTACTTTCACTTATAACACTAACTTCACTGGGAATGCCATCTCCCAACCCCATCTCTGCTTCCACAAAATGTTACCCATGCCTCAAAGCCCACTGAACCTTGCCTGCTTCCTGCAACTGGTCAACATGTTTTTCTCTGAACTTTTGATCTCATTTGGTTTCTGCCTCTCTTTTGCATATTCTGTCTTCTAGTATAATGAGTTAGTTATGCATGTGTCTTATTATCAATACTAGATTGTATACTTCCTGAAAATGCAAATGATGTAGGATTCAGTTTTGTCTTCTACAGTTCCTAGTCCATTGGCAAAAACACAAGTACTTGAATAATTGTTGGCTGGATGCTTGATTGAGAAGGAAACAAAACTAATTCAAGAACTAAAGAAGTTTGAAAAAGTAGTTTAGAATGGAACTGAATTTGGCAATTGGAGACTGAGGGCTAAATTTTGATAGCTTGATACCTTCAGACCCACTCACTTAGTTGAAAGCGGTGTTTAGACACACTTTTCTCCATTTCAAAATTCTGCCTAATGCAAAATATGTATCAATGGGAAGATTTCTTTCGCCTCTTCTTTTCTCCTGTAAGACACTATTCCCTAAGAAAACAAATTCCAAGTTCTATATAGTTAAAACAAAGCAACCAAGAATAATTTAACCTATTTTATGCAATATCCAAAAGAAAAATTTCCTTTTTCAGTTAACTAAAGTCTGCTAAAGGGCAAGTTTAAAGAACACAAATCTGAAACACTTGGAGAGCAGGTATATAATTTTAGGGGTATCTAAATATGGTTTGCATTACTATATGGAGCCCATGTGTCTGCCTCACAGATAATATGCATTTCTTAATTAGTATGCACGTTGTAATATATTTTTAATAGACTGTGCTCCAGGAAAATCATTATGATGTATTAAATGAAACTAGCCAAATAAAATATGATTCAACACTACCTATATAGGAAGAGACATCTTTAAATTGGTAAATGTATATCTATCTATCTACAAAAATCTGAGTATTTTTGAAGAATTTAAAATATGCTGGGTTTATGTGGCATTCATACACTCATTGATGATTCCAAAGATTTATTATATAACTACCTATATGGACATTTATAACCTGAAAAATAAACCCCATGTGTTCTAGGACAGTTTAAATATGAACAAAATAGGGAGGAGGTCAAGAATGCTCAGGGGCAGAGAACTGGAGCTTGTCAAATAAATCTTCACTTACCAAACATTTTTGAGATTACATATATATAAAATGCAAAATAAACCTACCTCTCCTTTTCTTTTATATATATCTATATATTTTTGAAAGAGTTACAGAGAGAGGAGGAAAGACAAAGAGATATCTTCCATTAGCTGGTTCACTCCCTAAATGGCAGCAATAACCAGAGCTGGGCTGATCTGAAGCCAGGAGATTCTTCTGGGCCTCCCACGTGGGTTCAGGGGCCCAATCACTTGGGTCATCCTTCTCTGCTTTCCCAAGAGCATTAGCAGGGACCTGGATCAGAAGTGGAGCTGCCAGGTCTCAAACCGGTGCCCCTACGGGATGCTGGTGTTGCAGGGGGAGGCTTAACCTGCTAAACCATAGTGCCTGGCCCACTGCCTCTCCTTTTCATGAGAAATTTCCCAGGTTCATTATCATGCATAGATTACAACAGCAACTATACTTCAATTTATTAGAACAATCTGCACAGATCCTTATGGAGCTTCTTCAGTGAAGTCAAGCACTAACTCAAGCCTTGGGGATGCAGTATCAAATGGAACAGGTGGGGTCTCAGCCCTGGTGCAACCCAGAGGCTGAGTAGAAACATCACCCAGCCACTACTACCAGACCAGGGTAGTTCTCAGGAACACTTCAGAAGCCACTGAGCTGGGCATGTTTGCTGATCCCCTCACTCTTCAGTTTCCCCACTGGCCTGTACTCTGTTATATATTTTGATATCTCATTTCTGTTATTTATACTTAGTCTGTTTTATTCTTGCAGGCTGTCGGCTACCATGTCTGCCATCTTTGTGGCAGCCTTTACCAGTGACCTCATTCCCCTTCCATGCACTGCTCCTCATCCACTCTAGTTGACCATGTCATTAAGCCTAGTAAAATAGAGTTTGAAACAAGGAGAAACAAGCTCTGAGTGAATGCTGAATAGATGTTTCATATCAATGTGGTCTGATGAAATGTAAGGGATTATCCATTTCTTCTTTCTGATTTGAGACTTGTGTTACACACTCAACTCTAGCACACATTTAAGAAGATAATGTAAAGAAATGTCTTACCAATAAAATTTCATACATCTCCTATCTATTACTAAAATGAAAATAAAAACAGAATCCTACACTTCCACGCAGAAGCAATGTCCTTACTGCCAGGAAAGTCTCTAAGTAGATCCCTTAGAATTGGGGCCAGCACTATGGTGCAGAAGATTGGGATGCCACCTGCAGTGGCAGCATTCCATATGGATGCTGGTTCAAGTCTCAGCTTCTCCACTTCCAATCCAGCTCCCTGCTAATGTGCCTGGGAAAGCATCGAAAAAAAGCCCAACTTCTTGGGGCCCTGACATTCATGTGGGAGACCTGGATGGAGTTCCAGGCTCCTGGCTTCTTATGAGCCCAGCCCCAGCCATTGAGGCCGTTTGCTGAGTGAATCAGCAGATGGAAGTGTCCTCTCTTTTTCTCTCCTTATCTCTCTGA